CGGGCAGTATTAAGCTTATATAAGTTAACATAGAAGGTAGCAAGGAATGGTGTGATTTTTGGCAAATATATATTTGATAAGACCCCGGGAGTGTTGAAACAAAATGGCTATTTTTGTAGTGATTTTATAACATGTTTATGTTATAAATTTTCTAAATAAATAATGATATATATATATATATATATATATATATATATATATGCCGAAAGTGTGTTTTTTCAGACACGGACGAATAAACACGTCCAAAAATAATGTTAAAAAATCAGCTACAGACGTGTTTATATGTCGATCTTGATTCTTTTTATGCCCTTCTGAGCTTGAAAGGAGTCCAGTTGTCAACTCATATGACTGGTAGAGGTCGTAGCCACCGCTTGGGTACCTAAAGGTACCCAAGTTTCTTAGTTACTATATTAAAACAAGTAAAAAATTCGTCTGAAAATGAAACGTTTTTCACAATCTAATTGGCGCGGGAGGGGTTAAGTAACTAATATAAGCTGAGGGGGCATTTGTTTATTTTGGGAATAAATTTTCCGACCCTCCCCTGAGCTTATTAAACCCACTCCGTTTATTAATTTCGCACTTATCCTCCCAGAACTCAACAGAAAAAAAAAGTCATTATTATCATTGGTCTAAATTTTTTATTTGCACGCTTTTATGATTTAAATTAAGTAACATCGAACCTGGTCAGTATCTAGATGAGTGACCGCTTACGAATGTCAGGTGATCTAAGCTTGGATCTGAGGGTGGTATAACGGATAATGGCTCGAGATTGTTAATCGGAGAGCCGAGTTCCAATTCCCGTTCACTTGCGAAAGATATGAATCCACCTCTTCTCCCCCAGATATGGATAAAACTTGTATTACTAAGCCATAATTATCTAAAAAAATCTTACAATCTAAAAATATTTTCTGGATTTAAATAATCTGCAAAGGGTTGATAAGCCGTAAAAAACGAATCAATCCATCAAATACTGATTAGCTATACAGGCACGTTATTTAGATTTATTTACAATCTCTGGAATATAAATATATAGAAACTACCGTGACTATAAGGTGAGGGATCAGTTTATATATTGAATGTAATATAGAATTGATCCCCCGATTTATATTCGCAGTATAATTTCTTGTTTGTTTATCAAATTCTGATTAGGCATGAATCCATCTCTTCTCCTCTGAACTATGGGTTAATTAGTAAGACTTGTACCATTAAATCGCTATTATCGCCAAACAAAATTCTTACAATGTAAAAATATTTTCTGGCTTTAAATAACCTGCAAAGGGTTGATAAGACTCAATCAATCAACCATCTTCAGAATTTTCTTGTATTTTCTAATGTGATGGCTCACAAATTTCCTTCCGATTATTATGTGAGTTATGCGAGTCGATATCTAATTTATGCGAAATATGTTTTAGCATACCAATTAAATCATGATAAAGCTTCTTTGTAGGTTACCATCTTACGAGAAAATGCAAGAAGTCCTGGGGGATGAGGATGCAGCAATGGCTCTGAGAATTTTTTCTTTTTTTACTTAAATTCTATGCTTTTGGCCCTTTAAGTTACATTTTTACATTTAAATAATTATATTAGGACCTCACGTTTATTGCTTACTTTTAAGTCAGGTCCCGCGGAGAGCTAAAAGAGACCTGTAGCTCAGCTTAGAAAACAGTAATGATAATTTTGAAAAAGTAACTTTGAATTCTTCAATTCAATCGATGAAAATTCAAATCCCCACTTTAACTCGTATTCAAGCCATAAGTACAATTCCGCCCCAAAATTTTCAAGTTCAAAAAGTTTTTGTGTTACTTTAAACTCAATATAAATAAAAAAAAAAAAAAAACTTTTAAAATAAGTAATTTTTTTCAGTTATTTTATCCAAACACAAATCCGGAAACTGGATGTTTAAGCACCAGATGAAGGGTTTCTCAATACCGGGATCATCCTGATTCCAAAAAGCTATAATATGTCAAATGTAGAGCAAGTGTGATCTGATGTAAGACGGGTTTTCAGGCAGACAGAATTTGTCGTTTATTTATTTAGACTGAGAAAGATTCCAATTAATATGCCCCACCCCTCGTATTACGTGCCTAAAATTAATACTTTGGGAATGATTAATTCTGCGAATTAATCCAAAACTCGTATTTCCTTAGAGCTTTAGATTTGAGCTTATTCCAACTGATGAAATACTCGAATATTTTCGCAAACTATGCTATATTCAGTTAAGTTTTGAGTTTATATGAGAAACACACAATATTTTTGTTTACGTTATAAATATGACTAACTCTCAAAATTGGATTCATCCTTCGGATAATTATATATAAAGTCCGTTCTGTGCAGCGATTTTCCAAGCGTAGCTTAGATGTGGTACAAAGTCGAAAGTAGGGGGCACCCAGTGAGGATCGAAATCAGTACTCAGTCGTAATTGTTCTAACGAGACAAGCTTGCTAATCATTACACCGCCTCAGGGTGCCCCTACTTCAATAATATAGAGATTTTCCAAGCGTAGCTTAGATGTGGCACAAGGCCGAAAGTATGGGGCACCCAGTGTGGATCGAACTCACTACTCAGTCGTAATTGTTCTAGCGAGACAAGTTTGTTAACCATTACACCGCCTCGAGGTAAGTCCATTCTGTGTATGATGATGAACGCCTCTGACCGGGTGGTTTTGAGGAGCATGGAACCACCTCTTAATTGCTGGTGTTCCCAGGTCCATCCTGACCCGGGGTGGTTGCATCTGTTAGGGTCCAACTATGGGCAAATAGTTAACCCCCAAACTGGGGTTAAAACAATACGAAAGTATAAAAATAGGTTTTAATACTATAATAAATTTTTTGAAGGAAAATATTACCAGTAATACATTGAGGAAAAATATTACCAACAACCTATTTTTAAAAAAAATATTACCAGCAATAAAAATGTTGTCGGCATTAAATAACCCATTGAGGTTGATATGCCGTAAAACAAACCAAACCAAACCAAATCATTTGGAAATAAAGAAAAGAATAACTCTTATTGTATATTTCGATTGAAGACAATATTTTCCGTTCTGATTTATGGGAGGAGGAATTATCGTTATTCTTATTATTTACGTACGGAAGTCTTCATTTTCGTTGTTATTATCAAAAAGGCTGGGATTTCATCAATTTGGGTATTTTGGGGGGAATTTCGAAATCGATTTGAGGATTGTTTACTGCTGAGCATGTATAGGGATATTTCCCTCAGTTTTTCTATGGCACGACTCGCCCATTTTCGACTGAGTCTAAGTCAGCACTAGGGATTGAACTCATAATATTCACGAAATTCAAGAAACAACGCTTAAATCCACTAGGCTCATCGTGGGACAATCATCAGTCTAGAAGTTGCAACCATAAATCTAATTTGCCAGCGGAAGAGATTATTACTTTATTTCTTTTCCTATTTTCAGTTCCAAGCTTTTTTCTTTCTTTTTCCCTATTTCCATGTTTTTTCATTCTTTCTTTAGTTTTCTTTCCCTATTTTCATGTCTTTCTTTCTTTCTTTATTTCTTTCTTTCTTTCTTTCTTCCCAGGTCTATCATTCTTTCCCATTTCCATGTCTTTATTTCTTTCTTTCTCTATTTCCCCATTTTGTTTCTTTTTTTCCATATTTCCATGGCTTTCTTTCTTTCTTTCTTTCCCGAATTCCATGTCTAACTTTCTTTCTTTCTTTCTTTCTTTCTTTCTTTCTTTCTTTCCCTATGTGGTTCAAGAAACCATGACTAGCTAGACATTTTTTTTGATACTGTATTTTTGTCACTCGGTATCTTTTCATATCTATCCTTTTAAGTGACAATGAATGCTAGTTAATCTCTTTGCAGTTTCCTCGATATAACAAAGACGCCGTTTTACACCCAGATGCTTTGAATACCATGGACAGAATATGTGAGCAAGGAGGATATTTTAAATAGAATTGGAACTAAAAAGACGCATACTTTCAATCAGAAAGAGGCAGTTGAAATTTCCAGGTGATGTAATGACACAAGTGGGCTTGGGAAATCTAACACTCACAAGACTAATTATTTTGTGTGAATGGATGCTAAATCAGAGATAAAGATGGAATGTAAGGAGTAAATGTCCCTTACAGCTATAAGAGACAGGAAGATGTGGAGAGCAATTATCGAATAACCTAAATAATGTTTGTGTGAATGGATGGAAGATCATGGACAAAGATGGAAGGTAAAGAGTTAAATATTGTTTACAGCAGAAGAAACAGGAAGATGTGGAGAGCCATGATCGAATAACCTAACTAATGTGTTTGTGAGAATGGCTGGTAGAGTAGGTACAAAGATGGAAGGTAAAGAGACTAAAGTTTGTTTACAGCTATAAGAGACAGGAAGATGTGGAGAGTTATGATCGAATAACGTACTTAATTAATTTTTGTGAATGGCTACTGTTGAGGTGTCCTCCCTCTAAAGAATTGGACTCTTCCGCCTACTATAAGATTAGTAGGAGAGAAGACCTTGGGGAACAGTCGAATAGTATGTTCATTTCTGTCGAACTCTCTGCCTCGGCAGAGAGGAACCCGGACGAAGCTTTGCCGAAGGGCAAGGTTTCGTCCGGGGAGGTAGACAGGGCCTGAAACCCGTCTAGGCCGGTTCAAAGGGTATATTTTTGGCCGAGCCTACGGGCTCGGAGAACCCACGGTAAACTCGGCCTTGTGTCACATACACCCCTCGTGGAGGGACTGTAAAATATTAACAGTCGAATAGATTGAACGCTGGGTCAACCGACACACACTCACTCGTCGTGTAATACTCTTCTGTTGTACTTACTGTTTAATATATATCTGCAACGCTTGTTTTGTTATTTCTTTAACCATTTACTTGGTCACATCTTGAATCTATTCGATTGTTTCCCCAAGGCCTTCTCTCTTACTAATCTTATAGTAGGCGGAAAAGTCCAACATAGACTCTTTAAAGAGAGGACACCACATCAGATACCATATCAGGAGCTAAGTGGGATGGTAAAGCCTCAAATGTTACTTATAGCTGTTAGACATTTTCATGGCGGTCGTCGTCGAGTATAGAATCCAGAGGTTGGCAGTGAATATTTCGGAGACAGTAGGAAAGCGTAGTGCAGGTTCGCAGTGGATATCGCAGCAAAGTAGCAGAGCGTAGTTCTTCCGTCTCTCATGTTCGCCGGACAAGTTGCCTCTGGTCATCCAGGTAGGAAAACAAAGACGGCTGCCTTTATACACGACGGATACAGTGTTGTGCGGCTTCTGATTGGTCCACCTTCTATTCGTAGACTATAAAGGGAATTAAGTAATTTTGAATCTCTCACTAGTTACATAGTATATACACAAAAAACTGTAACAATAGCTACTAGAGACGTGAAGTTGTGGAGAGCTATGATCGAATAACCTACTAAATTAGTTTGTGTGAATGTATATAAATCAGGAGCTAGGTGGAATGGTAAAGAGTCAAATGTTGCTTATAGCTACTACAGAAGTGAAGTTGTGGAGAGCTATAACCTACCTAATGTGTTTGTGTGAATGGGTGAAAGATCAGAGAGAAAAAACATGGTAAAGAATAATGGATAGGAAGTTGAGAAGAGCCATTATCTTCCATATTTCGAAAGGACAAGGCACATAAAAGATGTCGCAGCTTTATCTAGTCAATGTTTCTACCAAGTTGGATATATATGATGACTTATTTTATTTATTCGAATAAATCAAACCTCGAAAGAAAATTAGCAAATCAAGCGGTACAAACTCGCCGTTTTTTTAACGAAATGTTGAAACCATCTGCCAATGGAATTAAACGCTTAGAAGCACAAGAGAGTCGTTTTTCTTTATAAACTGGATAATGTTGCTTCATCTTAATAAATCGTTGCTGTCATGGCTACAGGAGAGAAAAATTCTTTTAATACATTTTACATTCCGTCTTGGCAACCCTCTTTGGTAGTATTCTTCCAAGACAACTGAATATACATTTGGCTTATCACTCTTCTGTCTACACTGCGAGGTATCTTAATCTAAAATGATTATAAAATGTTTAATTCATCAATCAACTCCCTCTATGCACGCCCGCCCTTTTAGTCTCAACCCTATCGCTATGTACGTCCCACAGCCTTACGGTTTCAAAATGAAGATTTTGCATTTGGAGTTTTCTTTATTTCTGTTTTTCACTTTCTTTCTGGCACTCTTTTATTCTTTATTCAGATTCCCCCCATTTTCTTTTTCTATCTTTCCCCTTTTCTCTATTCTCTGCCCTTATTTCTCAGGATCTTTCTTTCTTTTCCATTTTCTCACAGACATTTACCTTCTTTTCTCCCCCCTATATTTCTTTTCTTTCAGCTCCGTTCTCTTTTATGTGTCATTTTCATCTTATTTCTTAAATACGTTGTTTTACGTTTTCCTTCCTGTTTTCTAGCATTGTTTTTCTGTCTTTTTTCTTCTTTTACAATTTATTTCTGTCACTTTGTCATTTACTCGACTTTCGGGCGTCATTCGGTTTTCTTCTTTCTTTCCTTTATATCGCTTTTTATATTTCCATGTTTTATTTGTTTCTTTCTTTCCCTATTTCAATGTTTTTTCTTTTTTTTTTCTTCTTGGTTCCATGTCTTTTCGTTTGATTTCTTGGCATAATTCTATGTTTTTCTTGTTTCTTTCCTTCTTTCGCTATGTCCATGTCGTTCTTTCTTTCTTTCTTTCCCTATGTAAATATCTTTCTTTTTTCTTTCTTTCCCTATGTTCATGTCGTTCTTTTTTTTTCTTTATGTCCGTGTCGTCCTTTCTTTCTTTCTTTTTCTATTTCCATCCCACTTCTTTCTTTCTTTCTTTCTTTCTTTCTTTCTTTCTTTCTTTCTTTCTTTCCCTATGTCCATGCCGTTCTTTATATCTTACTTTCTTTCTATCACTATTTCCATGTCTTTCTTTCTTTCTTTCTTTCTTTCTTTCTTTCTTTCTTTCTTTCTTTCTTTCTTTCTTTCCTTATGTCAATGTCGTTCTTTCTTTCTTTTTTGTTTTTTTGTTTGTTTGTTTGTTTGTTTGTTTGTTTGTTTCTTTCTTTCTTTCTTTCTTTCTTTCGCTATTTGTTTTCTTTATTTTTCCTCTGCTATTTTTCTCTCTCTTTCTGCTTCTTTTCCTTTCCACTCATTCATTTTTTGCTCTCATTCTTTCTTTTATTTCTGTTTTTATTTGTTTCATTTATTTACCTTTTTTTTCTCTCGTTCATACACTCTCATTCACAAGACGCTATATTTTATTCTTTGTCCTTTTCATTCATTCAGTCTTTTATCGGCTGCTCATAAACATTTACTTTACATTCTCCTCATCTTTCAGGATGCGCCGACTGACACACCCTTCATCTTTTATGCGCATACTCGATTCAGCATTTCACAAATATGTTATTTTCACCGTCTTCATAAATAGACATATCAACAACTTCCTAAGTTTTCTTTCTTACAGTATTAACCCATTCATACCCATAATTCTTTTTCTGATGCATGGATTTCTGCATATGAATGGGTTATCGGTAGTAAGGTATAATTAATACCTGTAGAAGAAGACAGATTAACACCCCATCAGAATACATCCGGGTATCGTTTAACCTAGTTCAGAATAATACCAGGTGTACGATTGGGCATAGACTACATCATAATTCGGCTATAAAATCAAGTATTCTAAAACATACTCTCCAGTACGTCATTTCAGACCCATTTTTGCTACTGTATTCTTATCAACAACTGTTTTTCGTTATTAGAATGTTATGTCTATTTTCTATGCGAAGCTTAGATGTGGCACAAGTCCGAAAGTATGGTGCACACAGTGTGGATCGAACTCACTGGAAGTGCCCCTTTATTAGAATGTCATGTGATGGTTCCAGTTTAGTCAGTCATAATTGATCGAGCCAGACAAGCTTTCTAACCATTACACCACGTCGAAGTGCTCAAATGATTTTCTAAGTGTAGCTTAGATGTGGCACAAGGCCGAAAGTGTGGAGCACCCAATGATTCAAATTCAATACTCAGTCGTAATTGATCTAGCGGGACAAGCTTTCTAACCATTACACCATGTCGAAGTGCCCAATATATGATGATTTTTAAGCGAAGCTTAGATGCGACACAAGGCCAAAACGATGGGCCACCCAGTGCGGATCGAAGTCACTATTCAGACATCATTGACCTAGCGTGACAAACTTGTTAATTATTACACCACATCGAAGTGGCCCTTTATTAGAATTTTATGTGATGGTTCCAATCTACAAACTTGCATTAATGGTTGACACAAACTCATTCAACAATCATTTTTCTCTTAAAACAATGTTTCAGGAAAAATAGATTTCACAGTGAGCTGTTATCGCTCTTTCCAGTAACGATGAAGGTTTCCTTCCTAACCTTTTATTTAAAGTCGTGTGGAATATCAACCTCTTGATTATGTCATTATTTTCTCTTCGAGTTACATGTGATATTCATTTCAGATGTTGCTCTTGTTGATTGTCCTCAGGTGATGGAGTTTCTGTTATTTTGTACAGTTCTCTGTGACGCCAGTCTACAAGGTTCGAAGAATGATGATTGTCGCTAAGATTCACAAAAGCTTCACTCGCTCAAAACCATTTTAACCATTGTTTTGAGAAAGCGGTTGTATACAGCTGACAGTTTAGATATTTCTGAACGGGTTTGGCGCCATCTTCTATACTAAATAGGTGGTCTCCATCAAGTCGTACGACCTCAAACAGATAGCACCTTTGTACTGCTAAGCACTCAGAGTGATTATTATTATTATTATTATTATTATTATTGATTTATTTTCTTTGGTTTCTGGCGTGTATTCATTTCTTTTCGGGTCCCAACCAGAGACCTAAGGTCAGAAATGGCATCTCGATATTTTCTACTGAACAGTTTTGAAAAAAATATATACAGCTGACAGTTTAGATATTTCTGAACGGTTTTGGCGCTATACATGACACCCATATGAAAATCTTAATCTGACAAGGTTACATAACTCGAGGTTAATGTTTTCGTTTTGTAGTATTTAGCGGTTTTTGGCGAAACTACTTCTGGTACATCCTATTCTGTGTCCAATTTCCTTTTCTCTTCCGCTTATATTGTTATAACGGATCCATACATCCATACATCAATGTTTTAAAGTGTTTAGTATTTACTAAAACTACACGCTGAATTTTTATGATGGAATCAGGGTAGGTACCATCATTGCTTTCATTGTTCTTATTTTCGATAGCTTTATTTTGAGTTCGATTTCTTGGAACGCTTGATAAAAAAAAATGTTGATTTTTTTTTTTGTCCAAGATCATTCTTATGTCGTTAGATAACCCCCACTTCATCCACAGTTCGTTGATTCATTTAGAGGGGGGGTGATATGGAATGCCTAAATTTATACTTGCAATTGTGCAGGGTATGATGAAGGAATAGATTATTTAATCTTTTTCTGACATGGACTTCCATTTCCTCCTTGTACTTTTGATAAGGTTTGAAATGTTCTGTCTTGGGTCCTCGCCAAACATGAAGGATTTTGTGAACCGATAAAGTTCCTCTATGAGATCGATGCATTCAGTGGATTCGGAACTTGGAAGGCTAATGGATAATAAGAGAACATCTCTATTGATGTGGCCATATGTCGCTGTGAGGTCGACATAGCAGGTATACAAATTTTCTATTGGAGTGGTAGACAATTTCCTGGAGTTTTTTTTTGATGACATATATGCCATCGTTACTCTCCTTCAGTCAGTTACGTGCCATGCGTAATACACGCTTAGGCGATCATATATCTTTCTATACATGACTGAAGAAGCAGATTTTTCCCCAGTAGGTTGCCATTTTTTTGTGTGGTACACCAGTTACTATCCAATGCTATAGAAGCCGGTCTGCCCGTTTATTTACCCCATAGCTGGGGGGGGAGAGAAGAAGAGGATTCATGCCTTTCCCAAGTGATTAGCACGTAAGGAGTTCACATTCAGAAATTAGGTTATCAGAAGTGAGGGCTTTAAAATGAACACAAGAAATATCGTGTGACACTACATGATATTAGGTTGGTGCAAAAATAATGACGTAATAATGTCGTTTTTTGACGTTAAAAAATACGTAAAAAACGACATTATTACGTCATTATTTTTGCACCAACCTAATACATATGTTGCTGTAAGGTTGACATAGCAGGTATACAATTTTTTTTTATTGGTGTGATATGCAATTTCCTGGAGTTTTTTTGATGACATATATACCTTCATTACACCCCTCACCAGAACAAAAACCAAAGTGAGTTGTGAGGAGTTTACATTCAGAAATTAGGCCTACTGATGTACAAATCAAAGGATCGGAATTGAGGGCTTTAAAATGAACACAAGAAATATCGTGTGACGCTACATGATACATAGTATCCTTGACTATCATCTCGTAGATACAATAATATACATCTTAGAAAAAAGGGTTTGCATATACTAGCCGAGGCAAAAGAAAGAATTCTGGGTCAAATGGAAGAGTAGATTGGGCTCTCTACCAGGTCAATAACATTGCAGATTGTTCTTTGGATTTTATCAAGAATCTCTAAATATACAGCAAGGCCAACAGACCAGATGTGATAGCAAGGAGCAAAAGCAAGTACGAATTGTACTGGCGAGAAAAACAAAAAAACTTTCTAGTTCAAAAAGTGAGCCAGCTTTTCTAGCAGCAGACCTAGAAATTGATTCAATATAATCTTTACACTTCTTGTCAGCAGTAAACATTAAATAGTCAGGGTGATCGTACATTCGTCACTACAACTGTTTCTCCCAAACGGAAATTATTTATGACTCAACCTAATACTGCCGTCATCAAAAATGCTTTTTTTTTTGCTTAAGTAGGAGGGCACAATTGTTCTATATATTGTACCTTTGATTTGATGTTTTTCGTCTGAATAGCTTTATTTGTTTAAGCAAGTTTCTATATACTTTATTTTATAAAATTTTCTTCATATATCTTATATACTTTATTTTATATACTTTATTTTATATACTTTACTTTATATATTTTTGTTGTGGTGTCCTCCCTCTAGAGTCTATGTTGAACTCTTCCGCCTAGTATAAGATTAGTAGGAGAGAAGGCCTTGGAGGAACAGTAGATCAGATTGTTCGTAACTGTCGAACTCTCTGTCTTGGGCAGAGAGGAACCCGGACGAGGCTTTGACGAAGGACAAAGTTTCGTCTGAGGAGGTAGACAGGCCCTGAACCCGTTTATACGGGTTCGAAGGGAATATTTTTGGCCGAGCCTACGGGCTCGGAGAACCCACGGTAAACTCGGTCTTGTGTCACATACATCCCTCGTTGGGGGGGGGGGCTGTTAACTATTAACAGTCGAATAGATTGAACACTGGTTCATCCGACACACACTCACTAGTTGTGTAATACTATTCTGTTGTACTTACTGTTTAATATGTGATATCTCTGTAACACTTGTTTTGTTATTTCTTTAACCATTTACTTGATCACAACAATTTTATATAATTTATTTTATATACTTTACTTTATATAATTTATTTCATACGAAGTCTAAAATTTGTTTTGCGAATGTGTTAAAATGAATAATCTGTATTAAAAATGAATAATCGAAAAGCCTCTTATAGTGTTATTGAAATGACACTTGCGTTTTTTAAAACTGTTTTTCACCCGATATAAGGCTTAGCTACGTGTCCCTCAAGATAGAGTGTTACTGTATGAAGATGTTGTAAGCTCATAAAGGGGGAGAGAAAAGGTTTCATATTTGTGGATATGTAGGACATATAACAGTTGTCCCTAGACTTGAAGAGTTGTAGTGAGTAGGAAAGTATCACCTTCGGAGTTCCATATTGCAACATATTTAACGAATGGAATATGAGGACTCGGTGTACGTGGCAAGACAGGTCCTTGCTGTTAGGGTCAAGACTAGTAGAATCAAGCCAAAATTAAATATGAGCAGATAGACTTGTACGTATGTATAGACGTTCTACTACCGTCGAAAGCTGCCTAATACGAAACCTAGAATCACATCAATCGGATACAATAATAGGAGATTGTCTATGTGTAGAGCAATCGAGAATCCCATTTAAGCACGTCGTAAAACTCTTACACAATTATTTATATCATGTATTGTTATATACCGTACCTATGTATCCTAATGGGTATGTCCCAATCCTCGTAAATATGTTGGACACAATTATAAGTAGATAAAATATGCTAAGTAGTCCACCACTACATTGTATTTGATGTTATAAAGATTTCATTTCCAATCTTCGTTTTGGTTATTCCTCATTCAGTAACCCTTTCAAGGTTACAACATGTATTCAACTGGGTATGACGATAAATTATATCCGGCAGCAAGGCCTCTGATCGGGAGGTTTTGAGGAGCGTGGAACCACCTCTTGATTACTGTTGTTCCAACGTCCATCCTGACCCGGAGTACTAGCACCTGTTAGGGTCCCAGCTATGGGTAAATAGTGAAATTCCAAACTGGGGGGCAAAACACTATGAAAGTATGAAAATAGATTTTTATATTAAAAATGCCCACAATACA